GAACGTAAACTAAAGTATTTGGAGTAGCGGCGTAAAACAGTAATAGGTGCCAAGCTGACATGCCCAGTTTTTCTGCAGATCGCCTGCGGTCGATCACTGAACCAAAACCACGGCAACAATAGTGAAAACGAGAAGGCAATGAAAATCTTTTGAAATTGATTTGCTCAAGAATTGAGATAAAACCGTCACCTTCCACTTGACGGACCTCAACATGACTCCGAGATATTTAAAAGAAGGTCTACAAATTTATCGACGTTATGCATTTAGAATTGAGGTTAGTTGATCGCCTTAGATGGCGTACTTAACTCAGGATTGGCTCTTTGTTGAAGTCAAATTAGGCGAGATGCGACCTCCGTTTCGGCAGGATTTCCGGAAAGAACAAACAAAGAACATAACTATGGACTTGCTTTCATGTTTTCCGCAGGTGATTTTAACTGTCACAGCATTGTTAAAGCGAGTGCAAAAATTTATAGGGTAAATGGCCCAACTCCACGTTTCACTGTGCCATCATTCTTCCATTTTTTTTAGCACCGCAGTAGAAGTTTCTATCAGCGTAAGATGGTAGGGATAAGAGAAAAGAAAAAATGATTCTGAGTTCAGGAACTTTCTAAATGTTATAAATGTCCACATAACAGTGAATAGTAGCTCCTATTTAAGGGGGTTTTGTCACGCTGTACATCTTGAACTGTATTTAGTCAAATTTGCCTGTTCCTGGTTTTCTAAGGAGATTGATTAGCTAACGTTTTTTTATAACGTCATCCATTAGGAATCACAGAACTGTTTACCTAATCCATTTTCTGTGCAGGGTTCACAGGTTGACGGCATTGACGGCCCTTAATAGGTAATCTTAGCACTTTTCAGTTCTTGCGCTCGAGCTTGTGGTCAGAATAAGCTTCTCTTAAGCAAATCTACTCTGAGAGCATAGAGATCTCTCAATCTCTAATTACTGCTGCCTCGAAAGTTGACAACTCATGATTCATGCCTGTAAACTACATCACTCAAATTCATCCCTACCTGAATCCCTCGCACTGGTCCTTGCTAACTTTTGCTGATGTTAAAAGCAAGATCAGACTTGTGAATGACACAGCGCTATCAGTACACAACACAACTGATATGTTAGATCAGTAGACCAGTCATTCATGCGGCAGTTATAGAAACAACCTTAACTAATTTAACATAAATTTCGGACCAGTAACCGTACGTTACCACTAATGTAACCTTAGACTCCTCGTTGTAAAGATTAAAGTAAACCTTGAATTACGGTGAATGGCATATTCATGGTCGTGAAGTGTATGTGTCTTAACTGTAAGCACTGCATCTACAAGATCGAGATTTCCAGAAATGGAAATTTTCCCGGATAATTACATCCTATTCTCTTCATCCTACGATGACTTTCACAGTGCCTTTGATCGCTTAGCTGAAACTTGTGAAGGAACATGGATTGAAACGAGTTTGGTGAAACCTGGTGGCTTTGTAATACCGAGCAAGGCAGTGTGCTCTGACAGTTAGCAGAGTGCAATTGAAGCAGATAGGGAAGTAGAAGTTTCTCAGTGTAGTACTTGTGAGTGCTGGTGGATAAGAAATCGAAATGGATAAATAAATCGGTCAAGCAATGTAAGCACTAAAGCGATCTGTGCTGAGGAAGGAACTTAGTATGAGTGCTGAGTTATCTACCTCCGAGCCTGTATGCGATCCTCCTGCCATGACAGTCACGGGTGGTGGACTTTTGTCGCAGGAATGTGATGCTAGATGCGGTTGACACAAATAAAGTTGCGAAGGCTAACGTGACAAATGCCGGATCACAGCAGTTCGAGTCGAGATACCCTAGCTTGAGAGAATCCTTGCAATGCAGGCCAACCGTTTTAGCGCTAACGATAAAGCCTGAAGGCGATTAAGGCGGCTAAGAAAATATGCAGTATCATATTTCAGGCTCTTTCAAAGAGATTATTTTTATCCTTGACGTGGATGGAAAGTTCTCGAACGTGGCAGTCTTCAAAGGGTTTACTCCGCATATACATTTTATTAAAAATAAATTCCGATGCCTCAAATCGAGTTGGATCAATCGGTCTTCAGTGGATGTTATATAGCAAAAAGTACAATGGGGAATGTTAGTAACTCCCTTTTATGCTGTTGAATAATCTCAATGTGTAGGTACGGTCAACGAATTGAAGAGAAGCTTAGATGTAACTCAGACTTAGACTTCCTTAGGCTCTAATTCTCAGATTGTATCTTCCAGATCGGTGACAAGTCCTCGCCGTTGTCTCTGTTAAGAAATTCGCATGCTTCTAACAGCATCGCTTCTTTATTCTTCTGTTTCCGGTTGCTTCTTTCACGCCATACGCCTTTCATGTTTTTCTAGTCAACGAAATGACTTTTCTCACCTCATGTTCAATCAATGCCGAGTTTCTTTTGCATTTCACACTCCCCTAAATCAACATTATTCCATTTTGTGAGGTATCTTATCCTCGAGTCAGTTGAGGCTTCACAAACATTAAATTTATTTTAAAAATTACAGGTTCTTATAGAAATTTTTTTCAATATTGTTCACTTTACGTCAGATTGATGCGAGTTCTGGTTTTAAAAGAATCGAAACGTAACGTTTGCATCTTCTGCATGGTATTTTCTGATATTTCCTTTTAGCCTGGAGAAGAAACGAATGAGAGATGGTTATTTCAGGCAATACTTTTGGGTATTCTCCAAGGTGCTTCACAGGTAGCTAAGTTTGATCATGTTGTCTCGGACATGCATGAGGATCGGGGTTTGGCCTAGTGGTCGTGGAATGGCATTGAAACTTAGAGCTTTTTGGTGGCTTAAGGAAATATGGCTTAAAACCTGTGGAGACTTTTCAAATTTATGAGTGCCTTAGCACCTCTCACCTTTGCAGCTGCATGCACCGCACGACTTCCGGCAGAGCGGGATGACCAAAATATTCTTTTCGCATTGTCCTGATTTCGCCAGCTGACAGCAGGACTTCAGGTCATCCTTGCACTCTAAAGAAAGGCGAGGGCGACTGAAACACTAAGCACAAGAAAATCAGTCGACGGAGTGTCGCGGTCAGAAGCAGCAAAGACGACACACTTGCGCGAAATGAGCCAGTCAAAAAGTGATGTAAAAAAAAGTTAAAGTTTACCGCCGGGGGGATACTGAATGCGGACGGATTCAGCGGCGAGTTTCTTGATGTCCTCCCTGTCGACCGGTCCGTCCGGGATG